TTTGGATTTTCACTGTCTGCTGTAATGGCTATAAGCAATTTTTTTTTTTTTAATGAGACAGTCTCACTCTGTTGCCCAGGCTGGAGTGCAGTAGTGCATGATCTTGGCTTACAGCAATCTCTGCCTCCTGGGTTCAAGCGATTCACCTGCCTCAGCCTCCCCAGTAGCTAGGATTGCAGGCACCCACCACCATGCCCAGCTAACTTTTGTATTTTTAGTAGAGATGGGTTCTTACCATGTTGGCCAGGCTGATCTTGAACTCCTGAGCTCAAGACGTCCACCCGCCTCGGCCTCCCAAAGTGCTGGGATTACAAGCATGAGCCACCACGCTGGGCCCTGCAGTCTCTTTTCATCAGGTACTGCGGTTCAGTGTTACTGTCTAGGGGGCAACTGATCTGAAGAGCCCCTCCCTCTCTGAGCTGTCCCACGCCAGAGCCGAGAGCCAGGCTCCCCAGACCCCCGTGGTAGGGCCTTGTATCTAAATCCAATTTACCACCAGCACGAGGCCTTGCAGTTAGTTGCCTGCTATCTTGTCAGCTGTTCAGTATTGCTAAAGTGATGGCCTTTAGATATTTCACCCAGCGTATTTGTCTTCAGGGAAACAGCTGGTCCAGGCACCCCGCCTGCTGTCACCAGGAAAGGACATGTGCCCAGTAGCAGGGCTGATGCCACTGCTGCATCCCAGTGGGGCAAGCCAGTCCACGGCTGTGCTGCCTGGGAGGTGCCCTTTTGTCAGAGGGCATTTGTCAAAACCAGCAAACTTGGGTTCTCATTCTTTGGTCTTGTGGGTCAGGGGGCAGAAGTCGGGGCCAGTCCTCCCCAAAGTGGGGAGCACTATAGAAAACCCTTCCCATCTTAACCTGAACACCTAAAGGGCTATACTCTTTAAGAATGAATCGGAATTAGCCCTGCTCCCCCACAGGAAAGACTGCCTTGGTGCTAAGAGAAGCAAAAAGTTATTGAGAAGTTAGCTACCGGTCTTCTCCAGCATAGATTTGAGGCCCAGGAATGCAGAGAACTCCAAGCACTAAATGTATTTTTTGTTTTGACATAGCGTTTCTGTCACCCAGGCTGGAGCACAGTGGTGTGATCACAGCTTACTGCAGCCTTGAACTCCTGGGCTCAAGCAATCCTTCCACCTCAGCCTCCCAAGTAGCTGGGACTTCAAGTGCATACCACCATGCCCAGCTAATTAAAAAGGAAAAAAAAGTAGGCCAGGTACAGCGGCTCATGCCTGTAATCCCAGCACTTTTGGAGGCCATGCAGGTGGATCAACTGAGGTTAGGGGTTTGAGACCAGCCTGGCCAATAAGGTAAGACCTCATCTTCACTAAAAATACAAAAATTAGCCAGGTGTGGTGGTGCACACCCGTAATCCCAGCTACTGGAGAGGCTGAGGCATGAGAATCACTTGAACCTGGGAGGCGGAGGTTGCAGTGAGCTAAGATTGAGATTGCACCACCGTACTCCAGCCTGGGCAACAAGAGCAAAACTCTGTCTCAAAAAAAAAAAAGAAAGAAAGAAAGAAAGTGTAGAATGGGGTCTTGCTATATTGTCCCGGTTATTCCCAAACTCCTGGCCTCAAACAATCTTCCTATCTTGGCCTCCCAAAGTGCTGCGATCACAGGCACGAGCCACCATGCCCAGCTCTTTAGGAGGCCAGTATATTTGGTTTGCAGTGGCCTCCAGTGGGTACTGCCCCAACTTATCTCCTCCCTAGTGGACTCCACCTTCATCCTAGGCCTCAAAGAATCTCTCGATCAACATTTTTCAAAGCCAACAAGAAGCCCTCCATTAAAGATGACCAAGAACGCAGGGAAACAAGACATCATGAGTGACCTGCACAGGCCTCAGACATGAGGACGGTCATGCACCGTGCCAGACACTGGGATGGTTGTGTGCTGTAACCGACACTGGCCAGGTGGTCCTGTTGACTTGTTTCCGGGGACCCGGCCTAACCAGGTAGTGTGTGTGGCAGCTGGACACAGACCTACTATGTGCCAGCCCTGGGAGGCAACCTAGGGATAGAGGCCCATCGCTGCCTTCTAGATCCCCACAACTGAGAAGGCGGCATCACTAATCCCAGTTTATAGACAAGAAACGGGGGAGAGGATGGGTGACTTGCCCAAGACCCTGGACACTCACAGGAGCAGATGGTCATGGCCACAAGCCCTGGCTGGGTCTGAGCTGGTGGTTATCTTCATGTTTTTCTCCCCATAGTCACCTGTACTTCCTGAGTTAAATGCACTTACCAGGTAATTATTGGTGTGAGTTTGCAGTCTCTTTTTTATTTAATGAGGCAGTGTCTCGCTGTGTTGCCCAGGCTGGAGTGCAGTGGTGCAATATTGGCTCACTGCAACCTCTGCCTCCTGGGTTCAAGTGATTCCCCAGAATTCTTCATAGCTGGGCAGGACCACACGGCTAAAATCTAGATGATGGAATGTGCGTGATAATGACAGGAGTAACCTCCATTCCTAGCTCATAATAACCTCTCAAAGAAGTTAGTTAAGGGAAGGCCGGGTGTGGTGGTTCATACCTGTAATCCTAGCACTTTGGGAGGCCGAGATGAGCGGATCACCTGAGGTCAGGAGTTTGAGGCCAGCTGGCCAACATGGTGAAACTCCATCTCTACTAAAAAATACAAAAATTAGCCTGGCATGGTGGTGCGCACTTGTAATCCCAGCTACTTGGGAGGCTGAGGCAGGAGAATCACTTGAACCTGGGAGGCAGATGTTGCAGTGAGATGAGATGCCGAGACTGCACCTCTGCACTCCAACCTGAGTGACACAGTGAGACTCTGTCTCAAAAAAAAAAAAAAAAAAAGAAAGGTGGGGTAAGAGAAGATGAGAGGAGAAAGGAGAGAATGTTTGAAAGGATACTGGCTAAGAATTTCCCAGAACTCAAAACCACTGATCCACAGATTCAAGAATCTCAGTGAATTCCAAGCAGAATAAATAAAAAGAAACTCTCACCTACACATAATAGTAAAATTGCAGAAAACCAAGAACAATTCAAAAAAACATCTTAAAAGCAGCCAGAGGAAAAAGAGGTTACTTTGAAAGACCAGATGCTAGACTGACAGCCAAACTCCTGAACACAGCAACAGAAGTCAGGGGATGCTGGGATGTGCTGAAAAGCTTCAATGCACTGCAAGATAATAACTGCTTGGCTGGATGTGGTGTGGTGGCTCATGCATGTAATCCCAGCACTTTGGGAGGCTGAGGTGGGTGTATCACTTGAGGCCAGGCTAGTATCGAAGTCCTGATCTTATGTGATCCACTTGCCTCGGCCTCCAAAGTGCTGGAATTATAGGCATGAGCCACTGCGCCTGGCCCCCAGGAATAACTTTAACCAAAGAGGTGTACGCTGAAACTGTAAGACACTGATGAAATAAACTGAAGAGGACACAAATGAATGGAAGGATATCCCATGTTCATGAATGACAATAACTAATCTTTTTAAAATGTCCATACTACC